AGGGTGTAACCCTTGTAACTACCTAGTTCTGAAAGCTGATATTTATGGTATTGAAAAAAAAAGTTATTAATAGGTAGTATATAGAATACTATAGTTTTACAAAAGAAAAAAATCAAATTTTTACTTATTTCATTTAATTTGAAAGCAAACTACTCAAACAATCTTTATATTGTAATGTTTATTAATACAGTAAACCATTTACTCATTATTCGACATTTTTAGCAAAATATTTAATTTTGCATAAAAAAATCTGTTAAGCCTATAGACATTAAATGGACCCCTTCAATATTGTTTATGCCGTAAATTGTACTCGAGTTTCGTATTGTTTTTGAATAAACTCGTTAGGTATCTACTTTTTTGTAATAATAATAATACAGAACAATACTAATAGTATATAATAATTATGTAATTACATTATTCAACTACAACTCAATACCTATGCGATGTGTAACACGTGTGATTTGCTGACTAGACGTGCATCCAATAATACATGCGTAGAAAGCAAATGCGATATTTCGGTGGTACCATTATGCATTCTTTTCCTACACGATGTTATGAACTCAACAAGGCCAATGTGTAATTTCTTCGATGTAAGACACTTGACCTCAACCTGAAAACGGTTTGCCAAATAATTTTTGTCTATACGTTGGAAAAATTATACTACGCCATGTTTATGCCAAAAATAAAAAAATATAACCATCCTTGCTCTCACCCTATACTAATTCTTCGACCAACCCGACTGGTTATCTAATTTTTAAGTGCACAGCTCTTCTTTTTACTGTACCTATTATAGGTAACTATATAACAGTATACTCGAACAGTAGTCTCTAGGACGAGTGTGTGTGACCTGATTTTGTATAATGACGTTTGACGTCATATTAAGACAAGTCATAAGGCGAGTATATTATGAAAGTATTTTCTCAGCGACACCTGAACCACTTGGACTAAAATTTGAAATTCGTAGTATTAAAAATTAAAATACATTATTACCTAACATAATTATATACTTGTGTCATCTTTTAGTGTGGAACTCATTTATTATAATTTGATAATAGGATCTAATGAATTTTTGCTAAAAATATACATTACATTAATGTATTACGTCCACCAAATATTTCTTATATAACTATAAGAAAGATTTAAATTTAACGTACTAAAAATCCAATAAATTAGCTAGCACTAATAAATTTAAAAAAATTAAAATGTGTAAAAGTATGCAATTTTAAACAATATTAATTTTTTTTAAATAAAATTTTTAAAAAACTAATTATTTTTAGTATTTTAAATAATACAAATTATAACTTATTTATAAGTAAAAAAAACTTGCAATTGCATTGTATTCAACCCTGGTAGTACAGTCAATAAATAAAAATGTATATTAAGTAAATGCATAACTAATTTTATCAAACTAAAATTCTTTTTAGAAAGTATAAAAAAAAAAAAACACGTAAATTCATTAAATTCATATATTTGATTAAAATGTGGATAATTTTATAGTAAAATTCTAGATACGCAATGATCCACCAATTACTACCCTTGCATTGTTATTTATACAAACATATAGAAAATAAATATATAATACACAATAAATTAATAAGTTCAAATGTTTATTGATTTAGTACTACTATAACATCGGAAATTATTTTTATTTTATTTTTTTTTGGCGTCATTAAACGGTGAATATAAGCTTATTTTTAAATGTATAACCAATTTCACTAGTCATATGAACGTTTTTAAGAGAAGCAGTGATTGTCAGTTGGCACTAGTTAACGTTTTAAATTTTAAATGCATTTAGAACATATAGTGATTGTATACTTTTTTTTTAAAGTCTGTTCCATTAGCTTTTTATTTTACTCGAGTAAGCATTTACAACACTATATAATACATTGTATTATTTTACGAATCGTTGGGTTTTATATTTTCAGAGAATAATTTTAAAATTGAAATTACTATGCATAATATGAATTCATAAAAACATTATAAACTTTCAAATAAATATGAAAAAATTCCTACCAAATGAATATATTATACGTTACCTAAATGAGTTTCTAGAATCTATATAAATTATCTTACTAGTAACAGTAGTAACAGTTATACATCAAACGATTAATAATATACTCATAATTACACTTGTATCACAGATGGTTAATCTAATTAAAATCAATTTAATATTATTTTTGAATCACACGCAACATTCATAATACTTATTATTCTTTCAATTTCTCGGCCAATAATTGTGTGTTTGACTTTTTGATGATAAATTCAGACGAAGATATACGGTTGTATATCTAATATAATTAATCTGTTTTTATAAAATATTAGCGTCTTTAAATTTAATGATAGGGTGACGAAATAATACCATCGCGCTTAGAGATTCATTTTATTTTTAATAAAAGGTTTTATGACGAAACTATATTATACAACAAAGAAAAGTCAACTGCTGTTGGTGCTTCAATGTTGGGATTTCTAAATAATATTTTGTTGACAACGCGCATAGTGAGCACCGAATATTTTCAATCCCACACAGTTTCTTTACGCGTAAAAATAGTTCAAAATTCTTTCCGTCTTTAGAATTGAAAAATAAAATAACAAAGTTGTCGAATGATAAACAATTTACACGCATTATAGCAGTTATTGTCGATAATAATATTAACGTTTAAATAAAAAATATGTTAAATGTTCGGCTAATAGAATTCGAACTATATTTGTATTAGTATTATCAATTAGAAACTACACTAAAGTTTACATCGATCAAATTAAAAAGAATCACGAAAATAAAATAATATTTGTGTAAATGTATTATTTAGAGTGGTTGTGACAAAAATCTATTGTAAATAAGTACGCCGGACGCCAATAATACGCGTAAACAGAGTAATAGTGTTAAAAATATTTAAAAAAAACGATCAAACGATAAAAAAAAAAAAAAAATTATAGTAATTCAAATTCAACACTATTTGTACTTAACATTTTTATGATGATTATCAAAAAATGCAACATCATAAAACATGTAAATTATATATAATTCGTGCCAAACAACCAATATAAGATTTAACGAGATGATTATTAATTATTACTGCAGTTATATTCAAAAATCGACAAAAATAAATAAAATATTCAATTTGTGGAATTGAGAATTGACGTACAGACCGTTAGGCCATAAAGTAGCTATAGATGTTTCACATAATAATTTATATAAGTTTGCTGACAGATGTCAAACAAACGTACCAGAGTACAGTCCGTCATCACAAATAATAATATTACACGATACATAGTCAATATAGATGGGCTTGACAAACTTGCTTAATATACCTAACACCAAAATAATATTAGTTATCACCTATCGATTTTGATTATTATTAATACTGTTTTGTTTTATTATTATATAATATAATAATTAATAGTATTTTCGTTGAATTGCGTAATAAATCTAAATGTACTTATGGCAATAAAACAGTGGGCCAAAAAAATTAACAAAAAGCAGCTAAAAACGACGTATAAAATAAATTAAATAAGTAAACGATAATGGGGATTGAAAAATTTGTAAACTTAGGTATACTGTTAAATTTTTTCATCACTTAATCAAAATCAATGTTTATCTTTCTCGTTTGAGCTATCGTTTACCAAGATTGATTCAATTCCACGCATTTCAATCGCTGATTTAGTATTATAAGAAAATACAGCAGAATAACATAGTAATAAATAGGTTTTTCTTCATAATATCAATAATACTTTTGTTAATATGAACTCGTTTTTTCTTTTTATAAATCTAATTTTTAAGTCTCGACATTTTATTGCTTTTTTAAAATTTATTATCCGTCAAATCAAACACTGTATATACTATACTTTGTACAATAATTGATCACAATATGTCACGTAACAATATTTTTCAGTGGTCCATGTATATATTTTACAGTCTTTAAACGGTTGTTAAACAAATTTTAAACATCAATTCTTTAGCCTCGATATCATTTTTATTTTCAAACACATTGGTTCTTTCATAATCTACCATATCACTTTTTTATGCATATACAACCCAAAAAAAGATATTATTATTTATCTATGATAATATTATTTTATAATTAATCAATTTGCGCTCCAGCAGAAAATCAATAATTGTATTAAAAATACTAACATCTGACAATCAGATGGTAAACTATGTCGATTTAATTAAATTGCATAATTTAAAAATATATATAATTAGGTAAGTGTTAAGATATTTAAATATTAGTTTTTAATGGCGAAATTGATATTTATGAGTTACAATAAGACAGATCGCGCACGTGAGCTGTATGTGTGTGGTGGGAAAGTGATAACTGATAAGTTGTAATATTATTTAGATTATTAAATCAAAATTAATATCGCACAATAAATTTATATTTTACATAATGTATAATATTTAAATATTATGATATAATGTATAGTTTTAAGTTTCTCTTACTATTACAAGGTAATGATTTTAATATATAATTACTTGTTATATGAGTAGGATGTCTGTAAAAATTTCTTTATGGCATCAATATCTTAATAAACAAAAAATATTAAATTTTTCATGAGCCAAAACTAAATCCATACGCAAACCATCCTATAGCAACCTAAAAATGTTGGAAAAATCAGATTCAAAAACCATCTTAGTATTTAGGAATCTATTAATATTCTTGATCCAGTAGCTTTCAAGTCTATATATCTATATAACAAACGAATAAAAAGAGATAGAAAGAAAGAAAAATTAATTTATACATAAACATATAACATAATATGTATAATGTGTAGACGTATTAACATACGTAATGCACACAAATTACTGGCTTTTAAATAAAACTTGAAATTTTTTCTTTGTCGATTCGCTGTGATTGTGCACCTCAAATGCGTCAACGCGACAGTGTGAACATTTTTGTCCATGAGGTCATGCCTGACAATATTTTCTTTCGCAGAAAAATCAGACTCGCGACGACGACGAGGATTGCTGACGACTACGACTAGGGCTGCTGCTGACGACAAAGATGGCGGCCGAGGAAAACGGCCTGCTGTACAACAAGGCCCGGTCAGCGTCCATATGCGCGTTCGGGTTCCCGCCCGGCAGCACCGAATACCTGATGGCCTGTGCCAAGGGGGCCGCGTCTACGCCTCCGCCACACAGGCACGTCGGCGGGGCGGCCGCTATAGCGGCCGCTGAGGACAACAAGCGCCGTCGACCGGCTGTTCGGTCGCAGAGCGCCCGGACCAGTGGTGGCCGGTCTATCCGGAAAAAGGCGCTGGTGGCCGCGGCCGTGGGCGCCCAATACGGCCAACATTTCAGCGACAGCAGGACGAGCATCCGCAGTGGTTGTAGCGACCCGAGACTTCACGAGTCTTCGCCCCAAGGTAATAATAATAAGATACAATATATTGTTATGACCACCGCGTCCTTCCGCTGACGTAAACGAAGCGCTATACACTCTGCCTACAATTCCCTGTGAGTTCACGTGCCTCCTCAAATATCATTTAATATTCATTTCGATATGTCTATTTTTACAATGTTTGACTACCGAAACAATATTTTCGTAAACATTACAAAAATTATTACTTGATATTTTCCGTTTCAAGAAAAATGTATGAACCGTGAATGATTTTTTGAGGTTTTCGCCATTATTATGCAATTTAGGTATCTTAGGTTAAGTTATAGTTAGATATCTAAAATCGTACGTTAAACCAAAAATATAATATATCGTTGTTTATTTTAAAGTTTTACTATATTAGCTACTGTAAAGAAACATAATAAATAGTGATATTCAGCGTTACCCAAAATCAGTTATTGTCAGAAAATCAAAATAATTATATCCAGTCCCAAAACATATACGTATTATATTTAAAAAAAAAAAATTATTAAAAAGACACTCCACTTTTCACATCTATATTATTATATATTGTCTTATTGTCTTCTACTGACTTACAAACCTCACGTAATATACCAAAATTGACTTTTAGAAGTATCGATTTTATGTAGTAAGCTATTTTAAGATTGAATTAGATGATTATTAAACATAAAGATATCAATTAATATTAACGAAGTTCTCTCGATTTTTTGCAATATTTTGGTTTTTAACCCATTGATAATAAGCATACAAAATATTAATATTTAAAAATGATCATAACGTATATAAAAATTTTAATACTGTGAAAAACAAACAAGAAAATACAGAAAATGTTCTCTTTTAATTTTTAATTGTTCAGTTTACTGTAATATTTTAGTTGACAACATGCATTTTAAAATTTTGAACACAAATTTGTTGTCCGTTTGTACCTACGTCGACAATAACAGACGTGAACGTGAGTATTGGAAATTTAAAAAAAAGTATGGTTAAACATTTTTTTAAATGAATTACTTTTAAAAATCTAATTTATTTTTCTAAAACTAAAAAATTTACTTAGTTAAATACAGATGAGATATCGTATACATATTAAATATAATAGTTGCCATACGTTTGCGTACGATGCAATAGTCGTAAAAACTTCGCGAGATTATTTTAACTACTGTCGGGTCGTCGTCACGCGTTTATAAAGTATAATATAATATAATATAATACACGTGTGTAAAATAATATGCGTCGTAGAAATAGAATATCGGCCAACAGAGACTTTGGCAGTGTTTGCAAAATCGGTAGGCGGAAAAACGATTTTATTCCATACATTATATTATAATGCCCCGCGCGGGTCGTAAAATATTATACTTCCGCTCACGAGAATAATCCGTCGAACTCGCTACTATTAAACACACATAGAAAATCGTAATTTAATATAATAATATATTATACGACCAGAAGCGAAAAACTATCAACAGCATATTATGAGAAGAAGAAGTTGTGTATACTTTATTGATTTGATGTGCATTATCGCCGTCTGTGGTGATAAAACTTTCGACAGAAAAATTAAAATAATATGTTAAAGAAAATACACGTTTGTTAAATCCCCGTTTTATAAAACGCCTGTTGCACTGTCACGTTTAGTAGGCAAATGACCTCGGTGAAAAAGTCGGTTCACCGATCGAAACCATCCGATAAGCGCCGGTGAACTTTTTTTCCCATTTTCCACCACTACACCATCCCATTGTTGACGTTAGAGTATTTTTGCAGTCCAATGGACGAGAAAAACGTTCGTATATAATTTACTAGGATACCAACTCGCGGTGGTCGTTGTTTTAATTTTGTATGCATTCATCCAAAAACACGTTAAGAAAACACCCTCCGCACATTCTAATTCCGGTTTTCGGATACGCATTTTTTTTTTCATTTACTCTTGTAGATTTGGACGATTACACGCGACGGATTTTTGGCACGCAAAAAGGTAATTTCAATTCCTGTAATGACAGAGTTTTTAATTTTTTCTCGAGCAACAATAATTGTAGGTAAGACGTTTTATAGTTCTAATCCGAATAAACATCGGGTTCGTAAAAAGTGTATCTTTGTGACAACGCCAATACGACAACTGCTATACATTAAAGTGTGTGTAAAAATTTAATATAATATAAGAATAATATTATATAATTTAAATATTTTGTTTTAAACTTATGGTTTTATTCTATGACTCAGCAATTATTTTCGTATAAACGTAAAAAACAAAATTCTTCGAACTGTTCAAATATTATAACTCATAATAAAACGAGAAAAGGTATAAATAACTATAATTTATCTCATAAAGTGAAAATCATCTACAACTGATTCATTTGAATGGTTTCTCAGCGTAGCAATATAATATAATCTCATTTCATAATATGAAATAATTATAAATTCTTAAGCAACTCATCGAATATTCTCCTATAGACGATGTTGCTTAAGAATCAAAACATGACAGTGGCTTAACTAACAAATCCTAAAAAAGGAAAAATAAAATATTAAGATTCTATCATGTAAACATCTTAAATTGTCCAGAAAAAATCAGTTAATGCTACAGCTTTGAAATACAATCCCGTTCATCAAGCTTCACTCCGTAAGTGACGTTTATATAAATATATAAAGTCTCAATATGTCCTTCTTATAAACTGCTTAAATGAAAGTATTTAAATGTTTTTTTTTTTAGTTCATACATTTTCTGTTTTAATTTTAATCACGAAAAATAAAATAAAAATATTATAATATTATAATAATAGTATAATATTTGTGTACAGGGCTTGCAAACGTTATATAATAACGTTATATTTGACAAAAAACGATAGAAATTGAAATTTGTAAACGTAGTTATAACGGAAAACGATAAACATAAATGATTAAATAACACAAAACAAAACATAACGATTAAAAAAATATATGATATATCATCATAAAAAAAAACATAATACAAAACGTTATGCATATAGTATGTCATTAAACGAAATAATTAATTTCCAATTTTTTAACAGTTATAATTTAAAAAATGTAAAATATATTAAAAATTCCAATTTTAAATAACAATAAACGCAAAAGTCCAATAACGTTTTAATTATGAATAACGATAAACGCAAAAGTTGAATAATGTTTGAATTCTGAATAATAATGATTACTCAACATTTGTATAACGTTTTAATTGTAAATAACGTATAGCAATTTTTTTTTTCAAATGCAAGCCCTGCAGTTTTTTATAATAAATAATAATATGTAGTTTATTACATAATTATTTATTGAAAATTACACCTAGCCTAAAACTCATATAAATAAAACAGATAGTAAATTAATTTATAGTTACCATCAAATTATACAGTGAAAAAATATTCTATATAAGTATAGAAAAAATGAGTAGGTATACTAAAGAAAATCATTTTAGGTGATATTTAATAATATGAAAAATATGAAACTATTAATTAGTAATAAGTATCTATAAATACTTTTTTAATGTATTTATACTTAAATCGTTTTTAAATTATTTATTTTTTTTTTTTTACAAGTCTTAAATATGATATAATAATAATAATATTTTCTATTCAAAAATATTAGGCATCAAACAGGTACTTTGCAGAATGTATTCCGAAAAAAAAGTTATATAAGTAATAAATAAAACGAGTAATTATTTTTACTTGTAATCATTATACTCGTAAACTTATTCCTCAAAATGTGTGTATGAAGTTGTTTTTACACACTGAGTAATAAGTGATTTCATATGGCAGCACATAGCCATTGTGCTTCAATAAAAATCCAAGTCATATTCTATACGTATAATATAGTCTATAAATATAAAGAACATTGCTTTACATAAATTATATAACATTCGCGTCGTAGTCATTTCTCAAGGCATAACATTATTATTACACATATTACCTACGCATCACTGAGGTCGAAGACCTGAAATCAGTCTAAAAAGGTTCAATTCATTTATTTTTTCGTTTCAAACCATTTCAAATCACGTTTATTGCGCAGCATCAATGTGGAAATATACCTATATCTATCATTCCTATATCCTTAAAAATAAAAATAAAAACTATTCGTTAAAATAATAAAATAGGTTTTAAAATCATTAATTTCTATTTGGAAAATTAATGAAGTCAAATGAACAGATTTCCCTACATGCGTTGTACTTAATATTATACAACGCGCGGCAATTAACAGAAACACGGCCGCACGCAGTAGGAGTAGTGATTTACAATGGGAACGTGCCAAAATCGTCGACAACGATTGTTGTTTTTTCGTCGCTGTTGAGCCAAATACGAACGGGTACGCTACTGATGTGCCTTTATATATGAAAACAGTGTGTTGTGTATATCAAAGCCTACGCGATATTATAGATTGTACACTTATCAGAGGGCAAAAACAGAAGCCAAAAACGGTAGTGCCATGGGCGGAGATATGGATAAGGCCCCATTAAATATATTATATGCCTCCTCTTTAAAATGTTGTCTTGTTTTAATGTGACTCATATTCTTTTTAAGACTTATTAGAATGCTTTTTTCGACTAATTCTTTTTTTGAATTTCAACAGTCAAAATAATATGAATTAAACTTATTTGACTGTGTTAACAATATGATTTTTTTTTTACTTACATATTACAATATTAATTAATCTAAACGTCATATTTAATACGCTGAACTCTATACTTTAAACCAACCTCTCCATAAAATTTTATGATTTTCAGAATACTATAATTTTTGACAATAAAATGTCTATAAAAATGAAGAAAAAACCATTTAAAGTAAAATCTTTGACAAATATAATGTGTATTCAAAGAATAATTTAAATATCAGAAATATTTTTACTATATCTTCATTTAGGATTGACGAAAATTAGACTTTATCTTGGTTCTGTCGTTTTCGCTTTTTTTTTTTGACTACCATTATTATTATTCATTTTTATGTCAAACAAAATATCAGTCCATATCGAACATTACAATACGGAGTCGATGTTTTTAACGGATAAAATATATAAAAATAGAGCGTATAGACTTGAAAATAGATCTTTAGTTTGGCAACGGCACGTTTTTTCAACGCTTTTAAAACGGATTTCCGGACGTCTCTTCAATCGCTGAAATCTTTGTACATACAAATATCTACATCTTACATTTGTTATAATAAATATGTGAAGACGCGTATAGCATGTGTGTAAAATGTATCCGTCTCGCTTCGTCTCCCATCTCTCTTGCGTGTGCGGAAAGACCAAATCGTGTGTGTGTGTGTGTATATATATATATAATAACTTAAATATACATGATAACTCGAACCGTGGTATATGCGCACACAACTCATAGTCCGTCGTCACTGACAAAGGATCGTCGGTTCATGGTTTTATATATAGAAATAAGTCTGGAGTGGCCCTTTGGCAAAACGCCTTACCATTGATCCATTGCCGACTATGGTTTTATTTATCATTCATATTTGTATATATTTTTGAGTGCGTGAATGCGTTATATTTCTCTTTGGTGAGTATAAATCGTTTTAAAAATAAAGTTCCTTTTTTTTCAGACGGGACAGCGTTCAAACGGAAACCATCTTCCAAGAAAGTCAACTCGAACCACAGGAAATCCGGAGCGTTCTTAGATGTGCCGCCGGGTGAAAACAAAAAGCTCACGGAACCCGAAGATCCTGAAAACTCATACAGACTTAGGTCGTTTAGTTTCACATCAAAAGGTGAGTTAGTGTTATAATTAAGTTGATAGTTAAAAGTAGCGAACAGCAAAAACTGTATCAAATAAAACAGTTTTAAGATATAACGTGATATCCAAAATTAAATCAGTTTTTAACTATTAATGTAAAAATAAAAGTTTATAAAAATACAACAATTATTAGAGAAGATTTCATATCAACACAATTAGGAAAACAGTTAGAATAGGAATTTAAAAAAATATATTTAAAACATTTCAAGCTAAATTTTTAAAAAGTCTTTTACTCTTTTACTTAATGTTATGAATTTAAATATGTCAATAGTTGTCGATAATGATTTTTTCTACAATAAAAAATGGTGGAAAATAAATAGGGACTAGATAAAAAAATGTAACTATTGAGATCGCGTAAAATTTTTTAAAGTTAAATATTGTAAAATAATTTATACGTTTAAGAACGGTTAATACATTTCATTTTAAGATAACTAATTTGTTTTTACATACATTTAAACATTTTTTTTTTCAAAAAAAAAAACAATCAAATGAAAGTTATGTCTCTTTCACAGGTATCGTCAACAGAGGCGATTCGTTCAGAAAACGCAGGTCGAGGAGCAACAGCCTGGCCCGAGAAGACGACCCTAAGGAATGTACGCCACCGATTCCGTACGACAATAATAGCCAGCAGCAGCAGGTGCAACAACAGCAAGTTCAGAATCAACAACAGCAGCAACACCTTCAAAACGAAAGCGGCGATGACATCAGTTCGCACACAGTATGCCTAATGGGATCAAGAGGAGTGGGCAAGACCACTCTCATAAGTCAATTCATGACTTCTGAATACATTAACGCCTATGAGAGGCAAAGAGGTTTGTCGTTGTTTTCCTTCATAATGCATTTATGTAATATATAAGTGTATGCTTGAAGCTTATATTTTCCACGGTTTTATTGCAGTCGATCCCAGTACGGTTTAAATATATAAATATATATATATAATATATGTGTATATATATTTAAATACACGCTACTGTCCGTAAAAATAATTAATATTATCAACACTACACCGGCACAATTTCGATCGAGGCTAATTATTTTCCGTCGAATTTTTATTTACTATAATTATTTTTATTGTAATCTATCTTCACCAAAATCATACTAAATAATAATATAATCAACCCAGCTAAGTATAAAAATATAATATATTATTATCAGTTTAACAAGACCCTAATAAAAGTATATATTATTATCATATTTTATTATTGTCATCATTTTACTAAAATTTGCTTAGATGGTGACAACAACAAACTAAATAACATTCAAATATTCAAACTATTTTCTCGGCCCTTTCGCGACGCGACAGAAAACCCTTTGGCAATAGAACACTGTTACTGTTTAACTACTAAAATCTACAACTAATACTTATATTATCACCACCATCTCGTTTACTACAAATACGACAACTATCATAAATTATCAACGACGATAACTTGCCCGGCTCTTCGGCGACGACTCGTGTTTCAAATTTCGACATTATATATCCAACCAAACTAATGACGTAACAAAATCATATTTTTATGCAACATTTATAACCATAATAATATTATATATTATTGCTGTATTATATATTATATTTTATTATAGCGGGGGCGTGATTTTGGACTTTTTTTAAAAGCTACCAATTTTAAAAATCTGGCCGAGACAAGTATTTACGTTGGTCAGGCCAAAATACAAATGTGTATTTTACTCCACTCAAAATCATTGCTATACATCACACTAAAGCTATATTAATATATTATATAACATTAAATCTTATGTGCTATTATAGACAACTACGAGTCGTCAACGCAGTCAGTGTGCATAATGTTAAATGGCGAGGAATCTGAATTGAGGTTTATCAATGACGGAGAAATTTCGGTAAGACAATTTTTATTTATTGTATTGGTATGCAATGTACCTATATAATGTATAGAAAATAAATACAACTATATTGGCTTTTAATAAGAAAAAAATATACATATATATTATGTACTCACAAAATTTTCAAAAACAAAATTTTAACTTATCTACTGAAAAAAACAAAATATAAACATTTAATATAATAAATAATAACTTACTATTTATAGAAAATTGTATTTAATTGTTTAACTTATGATATGATTTTAGTTTTAGAATTTAAGTATATTATCTTTTTTATATATATATATATATATTATATATTATTACTTTCACAGTTTTATAGATGCTTTCTTTGAAGTTTTAAGACTTGACATGAAATTACATATTTTATAATACTTTTTAAATTCATAACATGCTATACGTACTAACTTACTTATTAAAGTTCATTATCTTCTTAAATAAATAAAAACCCGTATGACATCTAAAGTTACTTCCATGGACGTAAAAACAATTGTCTATGAGTACATTTCACTGCAGCCTTATATAAATGATTTTTAGAAGAGGGTACTTATTTTTTATAAGTGGTCCAGAACGCAATTTGATTTTGTGCCAATCCTAATAAATCTACTTAATACGTTTTTTCGTAGTCGATAAACTGTCCATCGTCATGCTTAATATAATACTGTAATACGAGTATATTATATTATTTTGTCATGACTAATTAGGAGTAGCTGCTAATAACTTTTGAAGACAATACTATTGATTTCAGGATGTTATATTGTTAAAATTTTAGTGTTCCTTAAAACTTGTGCTTTAGTATTTTATCACGAAATGTTAGACATCTATTTTTGCAGAATATAAAACAAGTATACTTTCTTTATTTTAAGATTGCATTTGTATTCTTGTCACTATACAACGTTAAATAAGAGAGCAAAAATTAAAAAACTAATAATGTATTATATAATATTATTATGAGTGTGTAATATATATGTATAGATGAAAGAAGATCGTCTGACTGGAAGCAAACCAGCAGACGCGTACCTGGTGATATTCTCGGTGGTAGATAAAAACAGTTTTGAATCAGCCGAGACGATTCTGAAGAACCTCCGGGAAAACGAAATGTCACGATCGAGACCAGCCATATTGGTCGGCAACAAAGTCGACATGGCCAGAAGCAGAGAAGTGACGGCCCAAGGTATGCATACTATATTTCATATTATTATATATTAAATTATTCTTGTATACAAATGCAGATTTTAATGGATCTGTTTTCATTTTAATAAATTTGGTCATCTTGTATGTGTTATCTAGATAAACATTTTAGATGTTCTTATGAAGATAAACTTTTTTGGTTATCTTTACACTATATAAGAAACTAACATTCTAAGTTAATAATACATTTATACATGAGACTATATACATGCTCACGGGAAATAATTAAAAATGTAATGTTAAAAGTACTTCAAACTATAATGTAAAATCAGTTTTTGATAAAACAAAAATTATACTAAAAAATAGTGTAATTTTTTAAAACGTATCACTCCGTATATTTCATAACGTCGTTTAGGACATACATGTATAGTATACTTTATAAAAGACTCTCATTGACACAATTAACCAACGTTATTAAAAATGAAAATAATACTCACGAATATACATTATTTAACTGGACCACAATCGAAACAGAAATCCAAAACTCGGACTCTTATTAATAATGAGTAATGACAATACACTATATAATAAGTATGGTTATTTACTATTATTTAGTATTTGTACGCACACACAATATTCAAGTGTGCATTTTAGAGAAAACGAATTGTATACTTTGTCAAGTCACCGACAAAGAGAGAGATTACATTAAACTTATATTAATATTGTTTCTACTGTCTTACAAAATGTGCTCAGATATATAATCTTACTTTAATAATAAATCAATACGAGGGGATAAGTGGATAAGTTTGTTATCTATATTCTATAAACATCATTAATCTCTTATTATACTAAGTCTAAAATTATTTAAAATACCAAGCGACATCAATGTTAATAATATAATAATAATGTTTATTTTTTTGTACTTAGGTAAACTATGTAACGAAAGATTTTCGTAAAAAAAAATATCGTAAACGTCAAGTTGACATGATAAAAAAGGGAAATGGTAATCAAGAGCATAGAAAAGAAATATACTAGATTTTTTCATTAACAATACGTGATAATCAAAATCCAATACTTTTTCTATTCGTGGGTCACATAAAAAGTGTTTCACAATATCATACAACAAATTTTGTTCCAATATTTAGACTAAATTTAAACTATTTTAAGTTATTTTAAGATTATTTTCAACTTTTTTTTTATTTACTTTTTAAATCGTTAATAAAAAAGGTCATTCTTGATCAAAAATCATAAAAATTGAATATAAAACACCACAAGTTTTTTTTTTTTAATAATTTCAATTGTCTGAAAATTAAATATAAACAACATTTTTTTAAATTAAAAATAAATAAAATTTTCAATTTTTAAAATTAAAACTTGAAAATATAAAACAAAAATCTTCTCAAGTAGTTGTTATTGATACTCAAATGTCTTAAATAAAATAAATAATTTGTCGTTCAAATTTTTGATGGAATATCATATTTACATAAATGAATAATAACGATGTTTTATTTATTTTGTTGTAATTTAAAATGTTTGAAGAGACTTGAATTTTTTACGTATTTTTATTTCAATATACACAATAACGTTTCTTAAGTACTTAGATTAATTTTAAGTTACTACCTTTTCATACCATTCTACAGTAAGGTGGGTATTGATTTAAAAGTTAATATGTTATACAAATGGATTATATTGTAATATTTCATTGTCTATATAATAGGTAATGCTATATTTTTTATTTTAATTTATTCAACTTAAGAACTATATTAATAATAGTAAAATAAATTATTAAAATACTATAACAATATTAATGTATAATAAAATATACTAAATTACTAATATGGCAGACCGTCTTCACTCAGAATCGTTTTTCGTATGCGATGATTTAACTCAATGTCAGAGTACCTACACTTGACACTATACAGCAAAGTGGTTACACATTAGCCTACTTTTTAGGACTATCGACCGTATACGATGTCGAGTGATAATAGTCATAAACAAATATATATTTTTTAATGTATTTTATTTAATAAAAAATATTGAAATTAAACAATATCGATTGAAAAAATATACGTTGATATTAATCAACCGGAATAATATGTTTGATTAATTATGATTATATAAAAAATAATATAACGTCAAATAATAACTAAATACTATCAGGAGAGAAAAAATAAAATAATTTAATTTTGATGTTATGCAGTCGTTTGTAAGGTATAGCAAAATAATAAATATTGATGCAAAAATTAAATATTTATTCGTATGTGGCCATTTTAATAAGAGACAAAAATGCATATGGCACTCCTACCACCTCTCCTTACCGCCTACATAACATTTCGGAGGCTATTTACGTTTTCATAGTTTTTTTTTTTTTTTTTTTTAAATGTTTAGTGTAGTCGAAAAATTTACTTCAAACAGTCTGAACAATATTGTTTATCATTATTTTATTTTATACGTTGCAAAAGTTATATATTATTATTTGCGCTTCGAAACGAATAAGATATACGTATAGATACATGTTACAAGTTCATATACAAGGGTGCTACAAAAGCATCCGAACGAAAATTGTGATTTATCATATTACTATTATCATTAAATAATAAATTTAACACAATATTTACGCAGACATTTTTAAATCAATATTAAATCGGAAACGGTTTTTCACTGTTCAATGCTATCCCACCACTGCGAACAACGTTGTTCGAACAATACAATTGGCCAATGCACCACTTGTGCTGTCAATTGATAACAACAAAGACGGTCTATGTATATACACGTATAAATAATATATATATCCCGCATTTTCCTCCGTCTTTGATCATCGCCAAATTGTTTTATATGTCTTTAAAACATCAGAAGTAAATTTGGTAAAGATAGATCTATCTACATATCCTTTATACACCATTTATCTTAAACGTACGTTAAAAAAATCCCGTAAAAAAGCACACTGCTCTATAATATATATCGAATATACAGGTGTACCTCAACAATGAAATAGTTACTGCTAAAATTTAAATTTAATGATAAATCATTACATACGAATAAGATTTTTAGCCCACCGAGACAATCTATTCGCTTACATTTCAAAAGATATTTTTATTATCTTTTATGTGTAATTGCTATTGGTATTTTTTTTCTATTCGAAAAATCTAAAAATACAACTGAAAACATTTTTACGCAATCGGACATTTTAACAAAATAATAATTTAAATTATTTTTTGTAATTCAAAAATATAATTTATCGGGATTTGAATTTCTTACATATATTTTAATTTTACCATCAGGTATACAATGATATTTTTTAAATATTTAAATACATTTCAGTCTATTTTTTGTTTATACCACTATGATTTAAATGTTCACTTGCTATTTTTATAATACTATGTACTTGCGATTTTCCAGCAAAATTTAATTCAACCTACCATATAACAATTAATTTTAAAATAAATTACTAACAGTATATAAATAATATATACCTAATATGATAAATAGACCAATATTCTTTGCTAACTGCTGAGAATCGTATTTTGTATACAATGATTTATCGTTAAATTCGAATTTAACACATCAATTTCATCGACCTACTTAATTTTGAGGTAAGCTTAACAACTACCATACAGCAAAAAGAGCTTTCCCATTTTTTTTATTTACCTTGATTATTTTGAAAAGCACTTTCTTTTGATACCCCTCCTCTTCTTTTCAAAGTACTAACTTGATTCAATTTGTTATCAAAAACCTTTGAAGTTGAAGATCGAAGCATTTACCCTACTATAAAAAGTGTACACAGTCACAAAAAACATATATATATATATATATATATATACATTACACATTATTGTAAAACCCGTGCATTTATCGTTTTACTCAGAATTTAAAAAAACCTCTCTTTAAATCGAGAGCTAACGACGTTTTAAAAAATGTCCAACCTTTGAGGAGTTTCAAGCAAGCTCATTACGTCACGTTTAGAGTAATTCATTTGACCCCAGCCACACATATTCTATCATTAATCATTACGTTTTTAGTTTCACAAAAAAATAAAAATCTAAACTTTAAAATACCCTATATATCAAAATATTATTGTTAAAATTGTGATTGACTCGGTAAAGATATAATTATTTTGGGTTACTTACAAGGTACCATTATTGTTATGTGTGATCTACCTAGAATAAGTGATCTTTTGAAAATATCTTGACCCGTCAGTAGTGACTATTGTTTGAAAAAAAGTTGTTTTTAAAAATATATCTATATGATATAGAATAGCTGTTATTGCTATATCTAAGACAAAATAAAAAGTCTTGAAAATTTTAACTATGAAGACTAAAAATAAAATCTGAAAAATGAAAATATTTTATTTTACAGTATATTTTGTTTTAATTATTTATAATTTTTCTAATATTGATTTTTTTTTTTTTTTTTTGTTCGTAATATTAGAATAATAGTAATATACATATGAACAAAAATGAATGAATTTCAACAATAAAATGTAACAAGAAAAACCAATAGATAAATCACACGTAATAATGATATCACTTACTGTGTAACTGGAATGACTGTGCATCGGCATTAGCATTTTATTCTGAAGTAACATCAATGATACCGTAACAATATTTTATTGTATATTATATTGTACAGATTGTTTAATAATAACAATAATAATAATAATAATAGTATCAGTTGCAATTAGGGAATATTAAACATTTACGCCAAGTACACACACCGTTAATTAATAGCGAACGTGAGAAGATTTGTGAAACAAATAAAACCTGTACGCACGACAACGTCCCAAAACCAAACGAATCGATATGCGCCCGACGGTTTAACATAATATATAAAATATATCATACAGATTTTTACTTATTATTTATATTAGATATATTCCCGAACGTGATTAACGTCTCCACGAGGAATGCGTAAATATTTATTCTTCAATACATAATCTAATCTCTCCCAGCCTCTGCAGTAATATCCAAACCTGTGGGTTTACAGCAATGTAACTTATTTGAGGGCAATGGTCGTCTGGACAAATGTGATCATTTTGAATAAAACATATGCAGTCCATTTGAAAAAAAAAATGCATTTAATTATTCGTACCTGCGCGAGTAAGGCGGACAATATCGCTATAATAATATAGTAATATAATAATAATTTATTATTACAATATTAATTTATTATTAATTATTTACATTATGTATCTACCTGTGTGAATTGATTTTATAATTGATTTTATAATTGCTTTTATTTTTACAATCACCAATCTAAATTACTGTGCGTTTATAAAATATATTGATTGATTTATCTATAAACCCTATCCATACTTTTCGCCCGAACAGTATTTACTGTAGAATAAACACTTATCTAAACAGTTTACAACTATTTTCTCAAATTGACCACATTTTGAGTCGATTCGCCTAACGATCTAAACCCTTTTATTCATTATCTATAAACAAACTTCTAATTATGTATCATATCGTTTAATGCAATAATAATATATTATATAATTAACACAATAAATCATTTTTAAACTGTTAATGTTTTTTTTTGCCATATTATATTTCGTAGCGTATTATATCGTATGTGAATTTCATCATTTTTTTTGTATTTTTATAAAACTAATATAATATTACACGTCATGATATTATGCGTACTGAAAAATTAATACGATTAAATAACACAATATTACTTCATTCATTTTACCAGTATTTATTTTCATGTAACTAAAAATAAATAATTGTTTATATAAATAAATCGTAAAATATTTTAGAATGTTAAACTAAATTGTATTTATTTAACTTTTAACATATTTTATGTAACATAGTTTTCGTTGCAATGTGAAATATGAAACACATTGTTGTTTTTAATTTTCAATGCATTTATACGGTCATTTTAGTGCATTATAATTTTCACATTCCTAATGATATTAGATTATGTTATAATTTTTGAGAACTTTTGGATAGTAGTATCAATAAAAATGTTTGTTAAGCCAAATTAATGAATTCGTGATAGTATAGAAACAATGTATGTACCATAGTCATGGTATTTTTCATTAAAAATTAAATATAAAATATTAATTAATTGTAGTATTTTTCGTACAATACACGACGTTAATAATAATTAATAACAATAAATTGGATAACTTTTTTTTTACTCTCCGAACAATTAAGTTGTAAACCTTTGTTTGATTTTATGTTTTTTGTATTATTACCAATAATTTTTTTTCAAGTTTTCAAACTATTATCAAAAAAAAAAAAATAAAATAAAACGCACAATACAGCCCGATAAGGTTATATTTATTTAAACATTTGTCTATACAATTCTGTTAGTACATGTCACATCAATAGTAATTACAGGCGTAAGTGGCTACTAGTAATTTCGTTAAAATGTTTGTTTTTCTCAAAACGTCTAAAAATTATTTATTAAAGTCCATTAAAAAGCTAGTGTACACTGTACCAATAAAATGTGAAGAAAACCTTATAGGTATTGCCTATTTCGTATCTAAATTACAAATATAAAGCGTATTTCAAAAATAATTTATTAAATAGTTTTTTATCTATAACCTAACAATAATACGTAATATAACGAATAAATTATCAATAATAATAATGGTCTTGTGTTATTTATTACAGTCATTATTATAATGAAAACGATAACACAACTATGAACATTTCTCAACGTTAAACAGCACATACATAAATGTATGCCCTTTCCTTGAAAAAATCCCGAATACGCTATTTACTGCTTAGCGGTACTATAATATACCTAAATTATTTTTTAAAGATGGATAATTTAATGAAAACAATAAACTCGATTTAAGTTGAGTTAAATGAACACACCGTTAAGATAAATCAGAAATTGATAGTTAACAAATAATAAATTGAATTCGTTAATTTTAAAGTTAATATGGAAAAAAAAATATGACTTAATTCGACTTTAAAAAACTTGTTTACTTGTTTTTAATTAGTACATGGATCACATACAGAGTATCTTGTACCTATCTATACATATAATATTATTTTATGAAGAAATATAATAGAACTTAACGTATTAGGATTTTTTTTTTTTATTATCATTAAATAAACATCCGCAACAGCTACGGTTGTTGGAGATATCAGAAACTATGCAGAGATCGGCTTAAAAATAAAACAGTAGATTACATATTGTTATATTTCATATTTATCGATAGATATTGACCGTTTTGAAAAATTTGCATAGTAAAATCCGAGCTGAGGATTATTTGAAAGGGCGTAGAGGAGAAAATCTCTTCGCATCCTATTGTTGAAAACTAGTAACTATACCTACTACATTCTACAGTTAGTACGAGTATACCTATATGTTTTACTGAAATTGTTTTTGTTTAAAACCGTATAACTATCTACTTATTTTTAAATCAACTGAAAAAAGCTATGTTATTTCAACAGTCCAATTAGATTAGTTAAAGTAGTTATAATACGTACAATAATCGGGTCGTCGTACATTCTGTACGAGGTACGGTATAGTGTCTAGGTACGAGGTGATTCAATTTCTTAACAACAAACGCTCATCATTTCGAAAAGTTAAATTGTTTCGTTTCTGTTATACAATTTTCTTTCGGAAAAATGCTCAAGACACATGCAACTCTTACATTCAATATTCTTTCAAACTTAATTTCGTATGTTTCAAACTTTAAATTTTTTAACTGACTATATTGACAATAATAATTAACGACTATATATTTGAATTTATAGCTAGGTTTTGCTTTCAAGCTGAGCAAAATAAAAATGTATACTAATACTACCAGTTTAAAAATATTATTAAATAATAATATATTCTACTGTACCTTTTTATTGAGAAATTAAAAAAGTTACAGATTTCGAAACAAGAAAATTATTTTCTAAATAACGTTTGGCTTACTTAACGGACATTTATGCGGAACTCCATTAACAAAATAAAAACGACGATATGTTTACAAAATATTTCATTAGACTTTCAATTGCTAGTTATTTTTTTTTTTCGCATTAAAAATGATTTTCAGACAAAAAAAAAAATCAAAATTAAAAACGTAATAATATCGATTACCGATAGCAAAATTAATAACAAAAGTATTTTCATTTATTTGTTGTTCGTACAGAGGGTAGATACTTGGCATGCACGTGCAGGGCCAAGTACATCGAAGTGTCCGTCGGCATCAATCACAACGTCGACGAGCTGCTGGTGGGTATCCTCACGCAGATCAGACTCAAGCGGGCCAACAGTGGCGAGGGACAAGACCATTGGTACAAAAACCGTAACATCTTAAAAGCCAGTCTCAAAGCTAGACAGATGTTCACATGGGTGTTTGGCAAGGAAGACACGAAAATGAAGAATTGTGAAAACCTTCAAGTCCTCTAGCCGGTGTGTCGAAAAAATATACTATAATAATACGCGTATTTATTTAAATTTTAAATACAATTTCATTGTTTAATTCGTAGTTTTATTTTGTTTATTTTTTTTTTAACGATTTTATACATTATTATATTTTGAGCAGATAAGTTGTTTGTGATCATATAGTGGTTATATGTATATTATACACATAAAATACACTTTCGTTGCCGTTGTTTTCGTTAGACATTTAATGTTTTCAATGATATATTATAATTAAATCAATAATTATTATACAATATACATCTACCACATATACGTAGATGACATATTTTATAATAATTATGTATACGAATCCGTACGATACGAACTGCGTAATTTGAAAGGCGTTTTTTACGTTATTTCTTCGATTGCTATACAGTCCGTCAACTATATTATTATCGTTTAATATTATATAATATTATCATATTTTGTTGTGCAAACAGAAACGCGCAAATTTCACGTTGAATGTAGGCGGAGTTTATGAGTTTATTCAAAATGTAATCCCCACTAATTTTAAATAAATGCATAGGATGGATGAATTTACAGCAGCCAACGAGGAAGTATTAAAACGTCTAATAAAAAATAATCAATGACGGTTGATGAACATAAAACGGATATGGCCGATATGGGTTTCTTTATAATTTTCAAAAATAAACATAAATAATTCTATCCTAAATGTACCTACTAATTTTTTAATACCCAAGAATAGCGGACGTGAAATGAGACGTATACTTAATTAATATTGATTACTTTTCTATAATTCTGATAAATCGACGGGCAACGGATATCGATTACCTAATTACTATTTACGAGTATTATCTAACGTAGACAAAAATAAGACGGTATTTATTAGAAGTACTAAAAATCACTCGTTTTTTTTTTTTTTTTTTAGTGTTGATTAATTGTTTGTTGAAATCGTATTTTTTACTTTTTTGAATATATTTTTGTATTTTAAATTTTTATACAGAATTATGCCGTAACTATATGTGTATTTTATAGATATTAACTATTATATTATAATATATTATATATTATATATCACAATACATATTTTGAACTAACAAAATTGTTATTATTATTATTTTTACCTCTCACTCAACAAATTCAATGTGTTTCGTATCAATTATTCCGTGAAAAAAAATTGCACTTCAATCATCAAACACAGTCAACAACAATTTTTTTTTTAAATCACTCATCACACAATTGAAAATTTAAAATTATTCATTGTTTATAATAGGTGCTAGCAGTGCCGGTTTTCCGTACTTTTCCAAGTGAGTTGTAGCTGTTACTGGGTCGAAGCAATCAATCCGTTCGCAATAATAATAATACTACGCACGTTCTTGCTTATAGGAGAGACTGAATAATAGATAAAAAACGAATACCGAATAATATCGATTAAGCTTCTCGATAAACCGGACATATAAATAAGAAGAAACGTGCGAAACACAGTCTTAAAATTTCCGTCGGACTTACAACGAAAACTTGATATTATCGTGTACATAGATATTTGCCAAACGCTAAGGTTTTAAATTTTTACTCGGAATCGAGTGTTTTTTTCAAAGCGTTCGTAAGATATAGAAACGTAATTACGTGTCATTGTTTGACATCATGACATCACAAATATTTAAAAGCAATACATAATATATGTATTAGATTCGTCTACGAAGGTTTAGATTGTTTAGAACAAAACGTTTTATGTTCTAGTAACTTGAATTTAGTGCTATGACTACTTTTAAACCACACACGCTAAAAATTTATTCTCGAAAAACACTTATTAATCATCGCGCAATATGAGAAATCCCAACAGATTTCGTCGCAAAACGACGGTTATTACCTCCGAGAGGTCTCGCGTTGAATTATAAAACATACATTTTTTACATGCATGCACACCCATTTTATCCTGTACGCATTTAAAACGTAACTGGACGCGAACAATTCTCCGCAACACACTTTCACGGCGTCCCGCGAAATAACGACGTCTCTACACACGTCTGTGCGTATATACCTACATAATATAGGTACATACTTATAAATCAACACTGTATACTATTAGAATTATTATTATTATTATTATTATTATTATTATTACCATTACCATTATATCGACAAACGTACGCTGACCCATTTTCGAGAGCAGAAACTCTGGGAAAGCTATATTACGTAGCTAATGTAGGGATAACTATAATATTATATCGTACGCGTGGGCGTGTGTGTGTGTGTATGTGTGCGCGCGCGAGTGTAACGCCAATATTGTTTTGCATCCCATTGTTTCCCCATTTAAAACGTTAAGTTTCTCTACAAGTCAGTCCTCGGGTCAAGAGTGCACTCGGAAAAAAGCGCTCGACCGCGTCCAATAGAATATACGTATGTATACATATATAAATATATGTATAAATCATACCCCTCCGCGCAGCACGCACACGCTGTATCACGTCCGCGTACATTACTCGTCTGTGTGCGAATTTATAAAACGCAATATAAATAAAATATGTATCATATATAATGCACTGTGCGCCGTCTATATTATTAAATATTGTATAATGCACTTATATCTACAATAAGTACCTGCTGTCGTTTGTGTGTGTGTGTAAACGAGCAACCAGCGTGTGGTTATTAAAGCGCACCCTGACCGCGAATCCGAATAAACACTAATAAACGTGATAAAATATATTATACCGGTTCAATAAGTCCACATAAGACGCGGATTAAAATCCGACGATAAAATAAAACGAGATACTGTAATGTTTTATAATAAACGATCCTGCGGGTGATTTTCGTCGGTGTCCTCGCGATGTGGCGAAATTACAAATGAAAAAACTGAGGATTTCCATGTCCCCCTTATTGTTTCGGCGTCAGTTCACGAACGGCTTAAACTGTGAGAGTTCTAATTTCAAAACTGGGGGTACTGATCATCTGCCCAAGCAGCACCCCTTTCTCTGCAAAATAAAAATCATAATAATAACAATTGCGACTACCGAGTCCGTAATCCTTTATCGCAGGTTTTTTAAGTTGTATACAAGCGTTTTGTGGTAAAGTCCAAATCTTTTTCGAGAAAATTAATTGCTCGACTTACGTATTGTATTATCTAATTGGCCCCGGAGGAAATTAATATTTAACGGTTCACTATCAGGAAAATACTAAACACAAAAAAAAAATTATAATGAAGGCGTTTTAGCCATTAGGCCACAGTTTTAATATATTTATTATGAAATTAGTCAACAATGAAATCGATCAAATTTGAGTTCTCTCTACCCATATTGCAATAGTCTGAACGAGTATATGAACATTATCATTGTATTTTAAGAGGGATATCTGCGCCCTAAATTTGTTTTTTCATTCTAACCCACTTAAGAAATTTGCGTCCAACAAAACTAATCTCGTGTTGCTAGTTTTAATATTAGAACAACATACCAACATTTGACCTAATATCAAACTTCAAGTCAAAAACTTTATCGGTAACTCAGTGTCCATGAGTTGAATTTTTTACGATGGATATTTTCAATCAATTTTCACGCAAGTAATGAGCGTTTCAAATATTAAAATTTTAAAATGCTCGTGGGTAGCAGAAAAGTTTAACTATTGTAAAACATTTCAACGCCCAAACACAGTTGTCTTAATAACTTTAAATTTGATTGCTGCACGATCGAGAATAATTTATAAATTTATATATCAAAGCTAATATAATACGAAATTAGTCACAAATTTTCCACGCAGCTATAATACGAGTTGAATAGATTAAGCAGACAATTTGAGGGGATATCTATTCTTCTTATAAACAAACTCAGTCGGGCGCTATTCGTTTAAAAAATCAAATAAAATATTCGTAAAATATTTTTACGGAACATAGTAGGTACGACCCTTGCAACTCTAAATACTCAAGAGTTTCAAGATAAATACGGCATTAAAACACACACATCGAGGACTTCTAAATTGAAAAAAAGTAAAAATGCATCGTCAAGTGTAGATAATTACACATCGTATTACAATATACATCACATCATATTATACACTATGAGTACCTACGCCTCGCAAATATTTCTTATCGACGTTCCAATTTTTTCATAAATGCGCTTAAATGTATTTATAATTATATTAATCCACATAATCACGCAAACGTCAGCGCGAATCTTACAGCAGTTTATACATTTTAATCGGATCAGTTTTTCTCCTCCAACTACTGTGTATAAAAGAGCTTTTCACGGATTTGCGCGCTGTGCCTATATACATACAACGCGGTTGACATTATCATGCCGCATATAATTTTTTTTTTTCAGTTTCATTCGGTGTAATCGCGTTTAGCTGGTATCGTTAAATTAATGTAGCACAATATAGAAGAAGATAAATAAGCGTTGAGGTAAGTGTCTATATATATGTAGAATTTATAATGTGACGATGAGAAGGGACAAGATATGTAAGAAATATGTATGAGTACTTTTTTTAGAGTCTTCGTGTAAAAATTTGAAAACTAATTTATTTAAAAAAATTATGTTTATTGTCTGTTTTCTACATTATTTATAGTGTTAAAAAACTCGTGTCGTGTAATTTATAATTTATACCAATGACTTTAAAGAATTAAAAGTCAATTAATGGTCAATTAAAATCCACAGTTTTAACTAATGATAAATTACACGATATAGTAATCGGCGCCAGATTTGGCAGAGTTGCAGAGGATGTAAGCACTAAGTCCTCAATGATGAAGTTATTCAAGATCCCATCGGATTGATGTCCTGGATTTGCTGTCTTTTTATTGTGAGAAATTATTAAGAATATTCAATGACAGTAAGCAAATGTTTTAAAAAAATAACCACCACCTTCTTCTAGATTCTCATAGATTAAATTTTATCACTGAATATGAATCGATTTAGTGAAAACATTTTCTTTTTTTAATGATCAATTTACACTATTATCAAGTACCGCGAATAGAAATATGATTTATAAATTTAATTTTTTTTTTTAAGACCTGTGTTGTTTGAACCCCGGCCTTCTAAGATTTCTAAATCCGACACTAATAAGTAATAATTATGGTAATGTTTTAATTTTTAACAGTCATAAGTAGGTAGTATAATTAGTATAAAGTATTTATTATATAAACAGATTAAATTGTTTGAAACTGCGTCAAACAGAACTAGATAAGAATAAAAAGAATTCGATATTTTTCAAAAACGATGATGGGTAGTATTTCGAAACGTTTACCTTTATTTAAAGTTCGATAAAAAATAAATAATAAAACTAATACCTTGTTATTTTTTTTTTTAATTGAGGGGATAGTATTTGGAAGTATTTAAAAAGGTATAATGCTAAATGCGTCTTTGAATTTTTATGGGTAGCTAATATACTTTTTAATATTAAAAACATAATTTGGCGTATCTAAATATATTGTCATAATATATAAATTTTTAGTTTAAGCGATAAAAGAACCATTTTTTCATAATAATACCATTTTCCGTAGATATAAGCAACTATAAACTACCAAGTACTAAAATTACTGTTCAAAAGGTACATAGAAATAAGAAAACTATTGTAATATAAATAAAATACAATTCGTACACTTATACGTATATTATGCATATTTATTTAAAAACCGGTTACCAGTTACCTATTGTTGGTACGTTACAGAAACGCAGATTATTGATATTTATTCGTTTTATATATATATATAAATTTACCTTTTAAACAAAAAGGATTTGTATATTTTATCTTTTGTAAAAGACCATTTCTAAGGCAAAAAAAAAGTTTAAAAAAAAAATATTTATTAATTAAATTCCATAGTCGAGAAACTTTATTATTAAAAAAAAAAAAAGTTTAGTATATTTCGGCTTAAGCAATATACATATATATATATTTTAAATAACAGATATTAAATTTCAAAATGAAAATGGAGAAACCTTTGAGTCACTG